TTCAACCTTAGAAGTTACAAATGCGTGCTCTTGACGCTCACAAACTACGCCGACCCGGCGGTAAAATAAAAATAAGAAACTAAGAAAAGAATAGTAACAAGTGACTAACTACGAGGTCTCTAAACGAACTAACCTCACCGCGTTCTAAATACCGCTGATATTCAGCAAACTTCTGAATATTACGTTGAAAGTTAAAACTGCGAGGCAAGCACACAGGCCGAAACGCGTGTGGTTCTTCAATTTCTAACTAGCCACCTCCACTCTCGTGAAGCAAGAAAGCACACTTTCGAACTCGTTCCCTTCTATTTAACTCAGAAAACTTCCGCTGACAATTTGAATCCTGCGCGTTCTACTAAAATTTACATACTCTGGCATTGGCAATTCCAGGGGAAAGTAAGGCTTGACAGGAAAGATAGTTTAAACTTAAAATAAATGTTAGTTAAAATAAATATAAACCCTACAAGCATGACATGCAGCTATCAAAACCAGCAAAACGAAACAAGTTTAGTAGAAATGTACTTGTTATCCATGAAATTGAAAGCAGATTACGGATCTTGAAAAATGCGACTATTTTCAGTTTGTTTTAAAGGAAGAATGTAAAGTCAAAAATCGGAGTTGGCTGAGAACAAGTTAAAATGCAAAGGGTTAAAGAATTTCAGATTCCTCAAGTTTCGTATCAATCTCATCTGAGAAGAAACTGTTCGCTTCCAAATTCTGCGGCATTTAAAATAAAAGGGCTTTAATTTTTGAAGAGCCTTTCAATTTTAAAGCTTTTTTTTTTTTTTTTTTTTTATGGTATTTAAGTATAGCTGAGGAATTTTTGTATTCTTATTTAAAAGGCAGGCTAAATTTTTGGTCAGTTGTCGTGTTGATGTGTTGCTAACATGCTCTCTTCGTTTATTTTATATGGGGGGGGGACGGTTTATTCTTTTTCTTGTGTAATTTTAACGAAGAAATAATATTATTACCAAGTATTTGTATTTGGGGGTGGCGTTCACTAATTTTACTCATTTTAAATCTTGTCACGGATTTGTAAAATTGTGTTTGAACAGTGTGCTTAATTCTACATATTTTTGTATCTTTTCATTTGGAAATGAGCGCTGGAAAAAATATGTATGAAATAATATCATTAACGATTTACATAGTCAACGGGAAATTGGGTTAGTAATATTTTGTATAAATTTGAGCGTATGGTTGTGTGATTCTATTTTGGAGCGTTAATGAAGGTTTATTTACTTTTCTATATTAATAGGAATTCTATTCTATATTAATAAGTTTCAAAATTTCATAGCATGTTTAACAATATATAGATGCAAAATTAAAAACATTTAATTACTGCGGTTTCGATGTGTAGTCCAATCAGATATGAATTCATGGGGGGGGAGGGGGCTTATAGCATTTCATGATTAACAGTTAAAAGAGCTGTGGAATTTCGTGTTAAATGTATTTAGCAGAAATGGAAGAAATTATTAAATATTCGTTCACTAATCATCTTTCAGTTTTCTTCTGCGACACAGGGTTCGTGCGTCCTAAGGGAAAATAAATTAAAAAAATATAAAGGCTTAAGGTGTTTTTTTTTTTTGTTTATTTTTTTTTAGTGCTTTTTTTTAACCTTTGTTTTAATGAACGCGCATTTTTTTCCCCGTACCAAAGCCTAAAAACTAAAAAACAACTTTTTTCCTTATATGCAACGTGATGGTGAATCATACTCAGAAAATTGCTTTCCCCCCCCTTCCTCTGCATTAAGTAACCTATGGTTGCGCGCGAGAGTACAGACAGGGCACGTCGTTCTATTGGCCAAAGAATTGCGAAAACGTAAGAAATTCCGGTACATTCGGTATTCTTTCGTCCCACCCAAATATTACACCGTTTGAATTTCTATCAAGATTTTAATAAATTTGATCTCGTTCCGTCGTGGTCAGTTCATATTCGTGTTTATTATGATCCTTATGCTTAGATTATGAGCATTTATGAATATTTATAATAATAATTGCAGTAACTGCTGAGTATAGATAAACTTTCAAAAATGTGTGTGTTTTTACACAGATTAGCTTTCAAGGAATAATATCGGAATGGCTTAAAAAAAGGAAAGAATCGAATAGTCAAAATAATTTCATTTCTTGCCAATATATACATACGGAGGTTGGAGTTTCTCCGCAAAAATCTCAATATGAAGCAGCGGATTTTTTTTTTTTTTTTTTTTTTTTTTTTTTTGTCATGTCCAATCTGGATTGAATAGGACTAAAAGTTTTTGCGGTTACCCAAGCGAAGATTGATTCATTCCGGAAATTTAATACAGTCGTTGAAAATTAGAATCAGAAACACCCCAGATTAGTAGTCTTTCTTTTTTTTATTTAGTTCTCTTTCTTCGAATACCGACAGGTGTTGATGCCAATTGCGTAATATCACATATGGAAGAATTACGCCGCACGTATTGCGCAATAACGTTTGCGGTATTTGATTGATAAAATGATGTTCAGTCTGAGATTTTTTATGAACACTTAAAAGAGTTTTACTGTGCTTCTAAGCAGAATATTTTCAGTTCCGTTGGTTTTATATGATGCACATATCGAATGTCAAAATCATTTTTAGCGAAATTTAAATCTAAAGAACGGCTACAATTCCCCCACTCCTCTTTTTCCAGTTACTATCGAAATCGGAATCGAGTATGATGGTTAGTTAAGCTTTACTGTAAAGGATGACTTAATGAAGAATTTCCGTCTTCTGATTCAGAAATGTGGCCGTTTTTCTTAAATACTTGCTGCATATCTGTTAAGAGCAAACTGAATACAATGAAAAATTAGAAAATATCAGAATTTAGATTAAAAAAATATTAATACGAGTGGAAAAATTAAATTGTATTTAGTATTAGGTGCCAAACGAATAATTAATGGCTATTATATTATTTTCTATTTTCAACTGAAATATCATCATTAATTTGTAGATTTTAATTTTGCTAGTTTTTTTTTTTCTCATTGTAAATATTCTGTAAATGAACTGTCATTTAAAATTAAAAAAAAAGAAGTTAATGTTTTCCATGTGAGGTAATGCTCATTCTTTAATAAATCTTGAATTGATCATATTTAAATTACAAGTCTAATTTTTCTTTTAGGTATGCAATGGATAATGTAATAGAAGGTGCTATTTTTCCTTAAAATGTGCTTGAAAAGTGCTTATTTTTTTAACCAAAATGTGGCTATGAACCCTGTTGAATCAGCAAAAAAGAACCTTCTTCACCTTAATTAGATATTTTTGGGACCTCACAACTTCGACAACATCTGCTGATTCTGTTTATTCTGAGAATTCAATAATATTTTAAATCGATCAATATCCGCTTTGCTCAATCCGTATCCTTTAAAATGTACATTGCGGGGGGGGGCAATTCTATATCTCCCATTCTACTGGGCCGATCGATGAAATTCAAATTGCGTTTTTTATGTCTCGTAAGAGCGACTTAGGATATTTATTAGATTTATATATAGCATTGTTCTAATATAGGTAGTTTGACACAAAGTCTGAGTTTTTCTAAAATGAAATGCCATTTCTCCCCCCCCCTCATATTTCAAATCTACGACTTTTCATTTGAAATCAACGCCATATAATAAATGCGTTCTTCCAGTTTCTGTTAACGATTTTGGCAATTATTGAATCAAAAAATTAATATTTATTTCAACACGTTCGCTGCCCAGCGACATTTTCAAAAATGTTTCTATCACGCCAACAAATTTTAATTAATTAATTAATTGTAAAATAAAAATACATAACATGTTTTTATAGGAAATATATTAAATTTAGATAATTTTTAATTGCTTTATTAATTATATGAGTTATATCTTAGTCGGTTTTGCCATAAAATGCTTTATAACAGCGCCAACTGCGAGTATACTCGTAACGAGTATATTCGTAGTTGGCAGTTCCTTGTAACAAAGATCGATTATTTTTACAACGATCATTATAACAAAGATTATGATAAATTGCTTGATTATTTTTACAAACTTTATAATTACTTGTATTATACTAATATTAACTATAATAAATCTCTTGAATTGCGCCAAATTGTTTTTTTTTTTTTTTTTTTTTTTTGTCCAAAGGGACTTGAGTCCCGAAGGACTATTGCTTTCGTTTTGGCATTTTGCGTCGGACGGATAAATGTCGGTTCACTTTTCAAACTGTTGCCATAAAATGTTAGAGTCCTGCATTATATTTGAAGAAATTAAATAATGAATAAAAAATCTGCGTAAATGTATGTATATTTCTCGTATTGTCATAAAAATAACGGTACATAGAGTCATCGAATTTTGAATAACGTAATCCTCCAACGAATATGAGCATGTGGAAGACCAAATTTGAAATTTTTTTTATGATCGATTTCCTATTTTTTAAAACTTTGACGAATTTTTGATTAACAAACTCAAGGATTTCAAAGCGAGCAATGGCAACGTTGTGCAGAAAAAACATTTTTATCTCCAGCGCGTGAGTCTCTGTATCGGAAATTCTAAAGATATGCTCGTTTTAAAAACTATTTGCGATATTGCTGTTGCACTGGATCTTATGTTTTAAGTGCGAGGAACATGATATTTAATAAAGAAAGGTAACACACAAAATGTTAAAAAACGCCCCTTTGGACGTAATTTAAAATCTGAAACATTTCAGATTTTTTTTTTTTTTTTTTTTCTAATCCCCGAAGCCTGATACCTTCAAAGAACATGAAAATACTACGAGTTTGTTCGTTATGTGGTCTAGGTAAAACAAAAACGTTCTGCAAATTAACTCGTAGCTGGCGCCTTAACACAAACTTCAAACTTCCACCTACGAGATACTCGTGGTTGGCAGCGAACGTGTTGATACAGTTACGGGTTATGAATGATGATAAATGTGCTTGTGTATATAGAGTTTAATGTGATATCTACTTTGAACGTTTTATGCAATCCATTATGAAAGTAATTTAAAACTATATGCGATTTTACAATGTATTTTACGTTTTCTAATTTTGTAGGTGATCAACTCAGGATTTGTGCACGGGGTCTAACATGTTGCACACCGGAAATGGAGCACAAGTTGAGCACGCACAGTAGAGCAGAATTTGATCGCTTGCTGAGAGACACCATCGGCCAGACTCGAACTACATTTGCTGCCCAAGCGCAGAGGTTTGACGGTAAGGTTTTTTTTTTTTTTTTTTTTAACAGAGTTTTTTTTTTTTTTTTTTTTTTTTTTTTATCATTAACATCGATATTTTTCTGAAAGTTTTACGTGCAAGAGAGTCTGTTCTTAACATTTTCCGTTTTCATAGCAGATTTGGCGCATGGTGTTGGCAGCAGTGTTGTTGTAGCTTTCAGTCTTTGCTTGTCAAAATGACTAGAACTTAACGATTTATCTGAGTTGTTAAAGTGAGTCATCGCCTACCCACAAAATAAGAACTTACAAACGACAGTAACTAAAATATATTATTTTGTTAATTTTTTAAGAGAAAGCAGGTGAGGACTGTTTGCTTAAGGATGCTTTGTGAAAGACTTCTTTAAGCAAATGGCTGGATTCAAGTTATACAGGGGGGAGGGGGTTACGAAAATTTTTGGACACTTAACCTTTTTGAACCTGAGTCAAATTACTAGTCTTTTATGTTCTTGTCCACTGCGTGTCTGTGTATATGTTACAGTGAAAGACCGAAATTGGAGAATGTCGACTTTCACCGGTGAATGTCAACATTCACCAAATACGTCGGTGAAAGATCGAATATTTCTTTACATTCTTGTACATTCGGACCCTCACCGGTGTATGTCGACAATCTCGGATATGCTCTGGTGTAGGTCGAAAAGAGAGGATATATGTACATCTGCCATTCCAAAAAGAATGTTTCCCAAATCAATGTAGTTGTAAAAGAAAGGGCCTATGCAATTCCCAATCCTATAGTTTTTGTTTGCAATAAATCGATGTTGATAGTATAATTGTAAGTTAATAATAGATTATTTTCCTTTCTATTTTCCTTCTGTGTGTTTTGTTCTTTATTCCTTAAGTTCTTATTCTGAGTTTCAAGTGCGTTTCGCGAATGAAATTACGGAGAAGGAAATATAATATTCTTATATATTCAAATTCACCATTATTACACGGTGAATGTCGACATTCACCGGTGTAAGTAATAAGATTATTTGGACATATTTCCAGACATACACCAAGAGACTATGTGAATGTTGACATTCACCGGTGAAAGTCGACATTCTCTAGATTTCGGTGTTTCACCGTAACATATATATATGTGTGTATGTCCCCCCTCTCACCCGGCTCTGCTAGCTATTCTTTTAAAATTTTTGATATGTTGGTGAACTGTGCATCCTTTGGTTAAAAAATTATTGAATCACGTTGTTCTTGTGTTCCGGTTAAAACTTTTATGCCATTAGTGAATCTGTATGCAATAGTTGTAGAATTATAAAGAGGAAGGTTTTGGTTTATGTAGAAGAAGGTAGGTAGTTTGGAAGAGAGCGAAATTTCAGTTTTGAAAATTTTGAATTCAATTTGCTACGTCACCAGGGTTTTGTAAGCTATGTGACACAGAATAATCTAGAAATGGTGCAGTCCTGAAAAGTTATTACTACTTTTAAAATACGCATAGGAAATAGCCAAATTAAAAATGAGGAATCAAGAAGCTATTACTAATTAAGAGGCTATTACTACTAATTAAATTATAAAACAGATTTACATATTATTTTAGCTTACATACATATCCCTTAAATTTACGTACCCATTATTTGTAATAATTGTGTTACCTATATGATAAATTATGAATTAAATATTTTCTGTGCTTTGTGAATTTTTCATTTAATGTTAAAATAGAATTGTGTTGTATCATTATAATAAATTCGCATGGATCGTGTTTGTACTTAAGTGCTTCAAAATACGAATATCAAACAATATTTCTCTGTTAATATGCGTATAATTAGCGTTAAAAGAGTATTTAAATAAGCTGAAGAAAAATTCTCTTTATGCTCGCGAAAATCTGCCTTTCTGTCGATAAATTTCTTTCAGGCCATGCGAATGGGCGGAATTGATTAAAAAACGTCGGGTAATTTAAAAACCATCATAGCCAAAAATAAAGGGATGGGGGTGCTTCGTACCTGGTGATTTATATGCATATTTGAAAGTTGCCATTTAATTCCCTGCACTGTTAATAAATCATTATGCTAAATTCAGTCATTTTATGCCCTTAATATAATAAATAATCCCGTTCGTAAAGGGAAAAATTCTAATCTTAGAAAAGGGTAAATATATAATACTGGGTTTCTGTGAACCGTAAATACTTGGTGTGTATTTGGTATAATATTTATTTATAGAAATAATGGCTGCAGTTTTTATTTTTTATAAATAAAAATCCATCAGTGTGTGCTTTATTTGGGAACTGCAGCGAGTGGCTTCCCGCATCGTGAAATTGTATTTTTATTATCCATTTATTTTATCGCTATCTGCTGGTATCCTTATGGAAATCAATTTAATACTGCATTTTGAAGGAAAGCCCGGGATACGAGGTAATTTTAAAAAAAGAATTTTTTTTTTTTAGTTTCTGTAATCCTTGTATTTTTCAATAAATCTAGATATTTTCTTTCTCTTGTTGGGATGCAAGAATTACCTTCGCAGTGGTTCGGAATAAGCAAACAAGGCAAAGTGTGTTTAGTTTTTCGCAGTTGTGTAATTAGTTTTTGACGAAAACTTTCATCTTGTCTAGCGAGGGAACATCTATGGACTTCGGACTGATTTATTATGAGTCGAGTATCTTCGCCTCTTTTGCTATTCTTAGGTTATGTTGCTGTAAGTGTAATGCTAATCTCACTGAATGTAGGGCAAGGGGTTTTGCTGTTGAATTTATTTGGAGGAAAGGGCATTAAATTAGTGTTTTCAGCCCTTTTGCGGAAGAGTGGTCATAGTCGAAGTTTAAATTTCGAATATTTTGTAATAATTATAGTGAGCTGAAACTTTGAAACGTAGTTGTTTTAGTCCATGTTATAAAAAAAGTATTAGGGTGTTTGAAAAGTCATGACGTATTTTTTATTTTTATTTTGTCGTCTTTGTTGTTGTTGTTGATGACTAATGCTCACTTGTTCTGACCTATCAGCAGCGCAAGCCCACGAAATTCCTCGTGGGAAGCAGCGCAAGATACAGGGGTTGGACAAAAATATGGAAACACCTTTAAAAAAACATGTTTCTTTGATAATTATGTAGGAACCAAACCGTGGCATCCAAAACAGCTTGCGTCTTCTCGGAATGGATAAATACAGTTCCTGTATGTTTGCCAAGGGAATATTATACCATTCTTCCTGCAAACGGTGGCAGTTCAGAACGAGTTGGCGGGTGGATAACGAGAACGCACTTCCGTTCCAATGCAGACCACAAAGGTTCGATTATATTCAGGTCTGGTGACTGTGGTGGCCAGGGGAAATGGGACACTCATGCTTCTCAGAAAACCAGTCCTGGACATGTGTGAGCTGGTGAACAGGGGCTTTGTCGTCTTGGAAGACACCATCACCATCGGGGAACAAAGTTTTACCATGGATGAACTGATCGGCCAAAATGTTCGCATAGTCTGGCAGTCATGTGCCCACACAGTTATCATGGGGCTAGCAGAGAACACGATATGGCTGCCCAACCATAACAGTAAACCCCGCCAGTTTCACTCTTGGCAACAGGTCTGTATTATAAGCTTGACGTAAACTCGGCCGAAGTGGGAAACAATGTGAAAGAAGACTCGTCAGACCATATACTAGCTTCCACTGCTCTATAGTCCAGGCTTTATGATTTAAACACCGCCTTTTCTGTTACGGGCTTTAGCATCACTGATGAGTGGCTCTCAATTGCAGCACGGCCAGCAATTCCCTGTTTATGAAGCTCCCTTCTAATTGTTTGGTACTCAGGGTTCGGTAAACAAATTTCATTCAGCAGCCACTTTGCAGCTATGGTCTTCTTATTTTTCGTCACAATTGCCCTTAATGATCGTCTGTCACGATCACTCAGGACACACTTCGTCCGCGCTGTGATTTAGCAGATGATATTTTTCCGCTTTTCAAATATGCGGAATAAATCTTCGATACGTACCTCTTGAACACTAAAACACCTCGGCTACCTGCTTACGGAGCACCACCTACGTTCCTAAAATTTGCCCACGTTCGAAGTCTGTTAACTCTGGCATAATGCACATGACACCTCGCATAACAGTACTCCGGCAACAACTGAAACTGTTTAGCACTTTACGAGTTGTATAGGTGGCGGCAGTAGTCAAAAACAGCCAGCCGCCAAACATATTTCTTAAAATCAATCTTTCTTTTCAAACATGCATTTCACAAGGTGTTTCCATATTTTTGTCCATCCACTGTGCGTCTACCGTTGGCAACAGCCTTGAGCACCTTACAGGTTTAGCTCAGTTTCGCCTGCAATTTTGATAAAGAGCTGGGAGGCCTCTTTCCCTACCATCAACCTCTCGAGAGGACTTTCGACTCGCCGCATATTTAGAGTGCCCCTATGCCGCACGGACCCTATACATTTACAAACATCCAGGGCTTCTACAGGATTCCGACCCGGGTTATGCGTCGCGGCAGTCAGCGGCGCTAACCACTATACCGATTGGGCGGCTCAAAGGTCTTTTGTTTATATAAATAATGATCAGTGAACAGTATATTGCCTTTGTTATTCGATAACTTTTTTGCTTCTGTTAATGAGCTTCGTAATTCCTCTCTGGCAAAAGAACGTAGCTTTATCAATGAAAAGTTGAACAAGGTGCTGATTTACGGCCTTATGTGAATTGAATATTATATCAAGACACCGAAATAAGTGAAAGTCTGAGAGCACAAAATCAATCAAGCAAGCATGTAACGCGTGGCAGCACTTTTAACAAAAACTACTACAATAATCCTGTGGCATAGTTGTGGTGTAATTGCACCCGGTCCATGGTTCCATGTTCGACCGCGAACAAGACGTAGCGATTTTTTCGAGTTCCTTCGCTGCCATTTTCTATATTTGACAGTTAAGTTAAACTAGTGGACGGTGACTTGCCTCCTGACTTGAATTTGTAGACTGGAAGTCGTTTTTTCTCTCACCAGTCGTCTTTGAATGAGAAGGGGAGATACAAGGAATTAAGACATCCCGATGAACTTTCATGTGATGCATCTGTCAATGCAT